AAATACGGTATTTGGTTCAAATGAAGAAAATACCATATCAGAGTATCTGAACAAAAAATGCATTTGTATAATGAATTATATCATTTATAATACTCATGCATTGCGAATACAGTAAATACGGTATTTGGTTCAAATGAAGAAAACACAGTGAGTAGAAAGTATTTACGGTAAGCTGTGAAATTATTGCAAATATTATTATTATTCATATGTCCTGTGACTGTGCATCATTTTACATAGCTTCTCTGTATCCCAGTTAAGTCAACTGCATTTCAAAGTTAATGTGTACACAACGCTAACTCACATGAAAACTCATATATGCATTACAATGAGCAATAGACCACATGACCAATGTATCACATGACCTATGTATCACATGACCTATATATCACATGACCTATACATTACATGATCAATAGATAACATAATCAGCAGATGCCGTGACCAACAAGACTACGTGACCACCATACAAACAATAACACATATTTAATATTTTAACAACTTAAAGGTAATGACCTATTTGTATTTTTTTGATAGTTATAATATTGTTTCATTTACTACCGTAAATAAGTAATTTGAACACAGTATTAACAGTTTAAGCGCCAAATTACTTTCCTGCTCAAATTTGTTCATATTTTCTGTGATTTTCACTGAATTCAATCTTAATTTTAGACTAAACAGACAAAATGTGTCATTGCTTCTAGTTTTTGATCAAAAAGTTGAAATTTTCATCAACATTTTCTGTGGAATTAAAGAGCAGACTACAAATTAAATATTTTGGGGATGATACCTAAAGTTGACTTTTGCACTCAGGTCAAATGAGCCAAAAAGTGCTGAAAATCCAGTCACACACGCCCAGTAATATTAACATTTTGAGTGTATTAGTAAATTTTAAACTTCTTTTTTAAGTACAACAAGCAGCCTGTCGGCTGAGATAGCTCCGCTGTTAGCAATGCACATGGCAATTAAAGAACAGAAGATATCATTAGAAAATGAACAAATCTGAGAGAGGTCCACATGTAGTACCTATATGTATAATATATCAAAGCAATTGGATTTGCGGTTTTCAACAAGAAGTCGAAAATATCACTTTTTACCAAAAATTACAAAAATATTCATCAAAATTAGAGAATTAAAGATATCATTATGAAATGAACAAATCTGAGAGAGGTCTACCCAAGGTACATATACACCAAGTATCAAAGCATTCAGGCTTGTAGTTTTCAAGAAGAAGTCGAAAAAGTAAAACATTGACACGGACGACGACGACCGACGACGGACAATCACTCATATGATAAGCTCCGCTCGACAAAGTCGACAGCGGAGCTAAAAATGAGATGTACTGTAATATTACATAATCGTGTAGTTTTAAATAAAGCAAATTTTACTCATTAGGAAGACCAAAACTGAGTAAATAATTAATGTTTGTACAGCAGTCACAAACATAATTAGTAAAGAATTCAGGAAACACAACTTTTGTCAATAAAATCTGAATGTTGTAACAATTCTATTAAAGATCAGACTTGAGTGAAGTGATTGTGCAGACATACACTAACTAGCCATTTCAGCATTTGAATTTCTTAAATTCAGCTTTGTGACTGAATATATGCAAGGGTCGATTAAGTTTTAACATTGGGTACCATAACTGAAATGTTTGTAAGAAATATTTCCAGTTTTTGGTACACTCTGGCAAAATTCTTAATTTTTTTTTTACTTTTTGACGAATCTGTCTACAGCACAGGCGTAAGTAGGCATATGCCTGTTTCCGTCCCAGAAATAACAACTGATCTATGTGATAATGGTATATTCTGAATTGGTAAGCTCACCCCCCCCCCCAAATGCTAAAATGGATGTTGTCATCTCCTGTAACTGAACTGTGAACTCTTTGTTCTTGTGAAAGAAGCTACCAAGCTGAAGTAATAGTTTTAGAACCAGTAGGTCATGTGGTCTATCATGTGACTAGCTTACATTGTGTACACACACTTTAGCCTCACCCTCCTCCTCCACGACGTGCTCGCCGAAAAGAAGCTCCTCCACCTGCTCCCATCAAAGGATTGTAATCTGAAATAATATTGAATGTATATCTGATTAAAATCGCACCATCAAGACTATATCCACACAGTACAATACTATTTATCATACTCAAATATTTTTCTTTGTTCAGCTGAAGGGAATACGAGTGAAGTAAGTGTTGTATCATTACAAATAAAATATTTTCACATTGTTGATTTCTTTAAAATTGTTTTCTTAGTGGCATGCATCATCACATCAACACACAACAAGTTCTTAGAAATTGGAAGTGATGATTCAGTACAGGTATTATTAATTAATATACATTTATTTCCTGCTTGTAGTACCGTAAAATCTGTATTATAAACCGCATCCCTTATAGAAGCCGCACCCATTCTTTTTGAATAATTTAGACCCAAAAATTCATCATTTCTCATATGTATAGATGCTCTAATAGAAGCCACATCCCCTCTGTTGCATTGTACCATTTTAATAGAAGCCGCGACTTTTAATACAGATTTTACAGTAATAATTTAATGAGTGATTGAAACACTAAATTGGCAACAAAACAAGTTTAGCACTGCATTCAATGAAAAGATTATATTTTTGTAGCACTCAATGTAAACCAAGAGAAGTGTTCAAAGTGACCTCAACAACCTTGAACACATTGGTGATATAGTTTATCCCATACATGTGTTGGTTGGTCATTAAGGTGTGCTAATAGGGATGTTTACAAAATCCTTACCATTCTGTCTGAGTTTTGGTTTTGGTGCCTTGTTTTCTTTTTTACCAGATGTGCTCGGTGATGGTTCTTCCTGTGAAGTAAAATTACAAAATGATGTATTAGACAATAAGTCAGAAGTACATATACAAGTTTCTCTATATAGGGGTCAGTGACAGTGTATTCCTCCAAAATCGTGCGTTAAAATGAATCCCTCATACCAAGAGAGATCTTCAAAAACACAAATTAAGATTCTTAATAACATTATTTACATTAAATAACATTATTTGTATAGAATGTGTTACATGGAATCTATATCACTGGATATTTCACATTGCAATTTAGCGTATAATAAAGCAATGTGCTATATATGTCTTGAATTACTGGTTAACAGATGGACAAAACATAGTATTTTTTTTATACATTACTAACCTGTGGTCTGTATTTAGATCTGTATCCCTTTCCTTGTTGGTGCCTGTCCCAATCTTCTATTCTTTCTTGTCTCTTTTGTTCCTCTTTCTAGAAAACAACACATGTTACCAATCAGTACTCACATTATACGGTTGTTGTTAGCAAATGGACTTTTTTCTTTGTTTTTCATCTAAAACATGATACGTGAAGGTGGATTTCAAATATGTCAGCTATTAAACCCCAGTGTGAAGATTTATTGACAAGTACCAATGACTTGTGGATCTGCGTAACTGTTGATTAGAAACTACATACACTGGCAGTTTTTCTGAAAATGTTAAATCTAAAAAGCAGGGGTTTTGTTAAGAGCCGGCCACCGGACTGCTATTAGCCCAAATTGGCCATCTACTATCTGCCCTCTCAACCGCCTATACCGGTCTCGCTGCACTGCTTCGCACTGTTGGGAACCTTTTTATTTTATTTTTTGGCCTGTTGTTACAGGATGATGGCCTGCTATTGTGAAACCCCTGAATAAGACTGACAAATCTAGATTTTGTGTTTACCTACACATTATTAACATTTAACAGCTAGACTGATGAGTACCTGCATGTAGCTAATGTACATACATATATAACTATGAAATTTAAAATACATAGTTACATGTATATCCATTAAATGCAATTTTAAGGTTTGTAATACATGCATATGGCAGACATTGCATATATATTCATATCGGTAATTTACATAATAGATTCTGATGCAGCTTGATTATCTTTGTGGCTTATTTGTAGCAATATGGCTAATTTACATATCAGTTTGTCACTCATGTACCATCCTATAATAATGGTATTTTGGTAATCTAATGTGCTAATCTGTCATACACAAGCACCTGTGGATCTTAATCAAAGTTTCCCCCAAGTCACATTTGTTGGTTAATGAATCTGGCCAGCGGATTTTTGTCTTCCCATTGAGTCTGCGGCACACTCATCCAAGGTAGGGGTTGACACTTTTTGGTGCTGAACCCAAGGTAGGATTTGAACTCAGGTCTATCAATCATGAGCCTGATGCAACAACCACTATGCTACCAATGACTGACTGAACTGGCAAATGTCACACAATTCTACTGTGAAATACTTCATCATTTTTATACTTCTTAGATTTTTGTTAAATTTTCTAATATTATTACAAATTCATTGTTTTACTTGTATTTGTTTGTAAACTATCACAACATTGAAATTTTCAGCTATTAGATTTACATTATGAACATTTTGTCAAATTACAGATTAGCTAAATTAGCTAAAAAAGCATGCTAGCTGAATCTTTTATAGTATTTCATTACAACATAGTTACAATTTGTTGACGTATTTATAGCCAATGAGGGTTGAGTACAGGAATTTTAAATATCTTTTTGTGAATTCCAGTGAGGTTACATATTAAGCCCTTCTCTGTATAGCACCCTTTTGTTGTTTCTGTTGAATTTAATATAGGTGTTTTAAGTCTGAATACAACCTGCTTAAAATATATGATGCATGTTCATAGTCATTTACCCCCAATCATTGAATCATGTACAAACTGACCATTCTCTTTCTACAAACTTTTTGTTCACTATACAACACCCAGATGTTACACAGGAGATAATAGAACAAATTCAGCATACTGATTAAAAATATTACAAAACAACGCAGATCAAATAATGACCAGTGATTATTTACTTTTTTTCTCTCTTCTTCAGCTATTTTAGCTTTTTCATCATGCTCCTCTTGCATTCGCATTCTTGCCCTCATCATGGCTTCCTGTCTTGATTCGATTGTTGATGCATCTGTGAAAAATAAATATGAGTAAATTTTATAATTTAGTTTCATGATCTCACAGCATTCGCACATGTCATCTAACCTCTCTCATGTCATGCCAGGGCAACTTACACTTACCACGGGTGAGCTGTACACACAGAACAGGACAACTTACACTTACCATGGGTTAGCTGTGCACACAGACTAGGACAACTTACACTTACCATGGGTCAGCTGTGCACACAGACCAGGACAACTGACACTTACCATGGGCCAGTTGTGCACACAGACCAGGGCAATTGACATTTACCATGGGTCAGTTCTGCAAAGAGACAAAGACAACTGACACTTACCATACCGTGTATAATATGAGTTTTCTTCTCTTTTCTTTTGAAATTTGTGTATCTTTGGTTGGAGTTTTTGTTTCAGGAAGAAAAAGGCTACTATTGCGAAAATAATGTACCATCCATACTGACCAAGGAATACTGTAACTGTAAAGAAAAAAAAAGACGTCCTGCCAAATTAGCATAAATTAACACATTATTTGTGAGCACAGTTTCCTTGTGTGTTGACACTCATGGACAGTCATGTGATGAGAGGGTTATCACCTGATATCCCTCATTCATAGAGCTGGTAATTATTTCCATTTTGTGACATTGAAAGTCGCTGTCATTTATTTATGTGTTTGGAAAGTGTTGTAAATGTAAGCATGGTAAAAATCATTGAAATCAAATAGTAACTAATTTTTAGCGGTACAGTATGATACCAGTACCATTAGTTATCATTGGTTAACATTGCTAATTATGGACAGCACTAACATAACCACTTTATATGAGCTGCTGACTATCTCTTTACTAACTGACCTCTGTAGCATTCCTACTTTGTGAGATCTATGGAAAACCTCACCAACTCATGTAAGCATCATATCAACAAAATCCTGAAAATCAAATTTAGAAACTCTCTTGAAAGCAAGTCCCCGAGTGTTGAATGAATGAATGAAAAAAAAATGTCCTCGAGTCATCACAACAATGAAAAATGTGTTTGCATTTTTACCAAATCATTTGTCACGGTGATCACAATACATTTTGTAAACAGCGGGAGGTGTTATACGTGTAATACAAAGTGGAAATACAACTCCAATTAATACCTATAGTAAATACTGAATAATCTAATTGAAAACCATATTTACAACTAGTAGCAGATGTGGTTGTGACTGAACGGTTAAACTGAAAGTAAGAACTTTATAACCCCATACAGTAGATCATAGAGTAGACAGTCCACAATGATTGCGTTTAGAACATACTGACGAGCCTTACCGTCATTTAAACCACCTTTCACTAAGTCTGGGGTTTCATTTTCAGGTGGCTGCAATGGAACATCCTCCTCGGGCATACCATCGGCAACCCTGTCCATTGTTGTTGGCAACTACCGTTCAACAAGTCACTAAATCAGCTGGTCACTAAAAATGACCAAGCACTTCCTTGTTATGGCCGCTGTTGCTGTTAGACTTGTATTCGTATTCAGATTCGCTTTAGAATTCGGATTCGCTCTTGAATGAGTAAATAACGTATCATTTCCCAATAGGAGTGAACAACAATAATCAAATTACGATGCATCAAGTCGATTTGGTTGTTAACAGATAATGGATAAAACTATAAGACTATATATTTAAAGTTAAAGCAATACGAATCTAAATATTTACAACTGAATACGAATTCGAATCCGATGCTTTGTTTATGCTGACGTGGGGTTAAATCTCACGATACTTGTGATTCTCACGAGACTTGTCCAATGGACTACAGGTTCACTCTTCGATCAAATGAACGGAAACAACACATATGGATGGAAAACATCGGACTTTGGAGATCAAACTGACCTATCCTCCGCTAATACTGGAACTCTAATAAACATTCGTTATTGTTTTCCTTCCTATATTACAATAGTTTCATTTGGACACATTCCTTCTATGACCGGTCTCGAAACGCCAACGCTCTTGGAGGGGGTCACATAGAGTTGAAATTACTCGAGAGAAGTTATTCAAAACAAACAAATATATCTTTTTTTTACAGTTGGATATAATAAAAGTCCCCGAATGTTCAAGTTCTACTTCCGGTTAATGGCGCGAACTTATAGTTGATGTAGTTTATTTCCCCCGACTATAATATCTTTGATTATTTCCCCCATCATGGCTAACCTCGCTCCTGTGACACAAACGCAATAGACTTGGAAGGGAATATAACAGGATGGGAAAATTATAAAATTGATGGGGTATTGATTGAAAAAAAAAAGATATTTATCACTTATTATTGCTTTGAAAATCAGTAAATGCTATTCAGCATTGACCAATACAGTAGTGGAAAGTGGTGGAAAGCCAACTATTGTAGATAGGTATTTTTTTCCAGGTGGAATTATTTTTAAAATTTAATTTTCTCGATGCTTTATGGGAAATCAATAAGGATTTGGGAAAAAATACACCAGAAGAAATCCGAAACTTTCTCACCCGCCTGTGGAAATTCAGAAACGAGAAACTGAATGATTTACATGTATGAATGTTTTTTATAGTTTGTTTTTTTCTTTTTCTTGATGTTGTTGATTTGATGTGCTTCAAATGCTAATAAAATATCATTATGTGTTATTTTTTCACATCGTGAATGATGATTACTAACAAAATAATATTTCGCTAGTTACAGAGTTCAGATGTGTAATCAAATATTAAAATATTTTGAAGATGCTGTGATGAATTTTTATAGCTTGTTTATCATGGTTTCCTCTGCATGTTTCGGCGTTTCGCTAACGAAAATAGTACTACTAACAGTAGCGAAACAGACCAACATACAGAGGAAGCTGTGAAACGGACTCGCGCTTTACTGTCGACTCGAGAATTATCTTTGATAACAAAAGAAAAAAAACAGCAACAATTACCAGGAATTGACACAACTCTCGACGCCGACATAAAAAATAAACTGTGCATACAGTGATATTAAACCAGGCTGTAAGGCGACGTTCTATCCCCACCATAAATGTCGTATTTTCGGATCAACAGGGAAATTTTCAAGATGTATAGCCACTCCATTCTACAAAGGTATTCCAAAAGTATACATGCATATTGTTTTTGTAGTTGAATGTTGAAAACACTACTTTGGAAACCAATCTGCATATGATAATTAGCTAATTCGCACATTAATTAACCTCTTTTATATTTTGTTAATAACCCAGCAATAGTTAATTGAGATGAATTTTGTTCTGAAAACAATTTTCATTGTAATTAGTTAATTTGCCTGATTGTTATTTGAATAAATGAATATCTGACACCAGTTTGTGCTGTTAATTAATTTTCACATTTTTCATTCTGTATCATGATACTTGTTTGCTCAACTAGCTTCCGTGTGTGCGAAGCGCACAATGGAGGTGATGATTTTGGTGTGTCCTTGTTATCAAATTAAAATGTAGGTACCTTGAGATAATAAGAGGCTGATTTGTTCGAGTTACAGATATCGAGTTACGAACATCAAGTTACGAAAACATCGAGTTACAAAAAAGACCACACCCACTTTTGTGAAACCATGCCCAAATTGTAACCCGATGTTCAATTAACCAAATTAGAGTTACGGGCAACATATATTTTTTGTTTTGCTTAACTTTCAAAGTTTGTAACTCGAACTGTAATTAACAGTTATTTAAACACAGAGTTAGTAACTCGAAATTTAGTTACTCGAAACATTTAACCGAAGTTCGAGTTATGGACACATTCAGTAAACTCGAATTTTAACAGTTAACATAAATTCGACGTAGATTGTAGTTATTGTTCAAACATCCTGATACATTTTTGACCACGCAATAAGCTTGCTTGTTTCAACTTTTAGGCTTATCGTACTGTACATCTTCACAACTTTTTGTCGACGTCTTGCAAGAAACCACCACAGACCGCATAGAGGCCAGAGTCGTGGCACTTCCTCATCGGCGTCGTTCCATATTTCCACCATTTCCAGCCCCCTCTCTATTGTCATATAGCGATTCATTGTAAATTTAACAACCCACGACTGTCGTCCGAGTCACTGGTTCAACGTGTGAAATCAGGCAAACATGTTCTCAAATCTCTACATTAATCAATTTTGGTGCGTTTTGTTGCAATAATAACATTGTTTAGACATTACAAACGCGCACAACGACTAAGCCCAAAAATTAAAACAAGCAAGCTTTTTGCGTGGTCAAAGATGGAAGACAGTATGTGAATGTTTGAACAATAACTACAATCTACGTAAACAACTTTCAATTCTATGTTGTTGGTAACTCGAACTTTAAATGTTAATTAAATTTCGAGTTACTAAAGGTACTTATCGTGAGAGTGCAGTTTACCCTGGTTGAGTGGCTAAAGGCACTGTTTACCTTTCTGAGTGTGCAAAGGCGCTGTTCTGGATTCGGATCTAAAGCTCAGGTTGACGTTCAAGACTGCAATTACATATCTCGTCTGGTCTGTACTTTCTTTAAATAAACCTATTACTATCTTTGCATGCATTGTAAATTCTTTATTTTACAATTAACATCTATAGAGGATGCATCATGTACAATTTCGTCACACTTAGTAATTCTAAGTAAGCTTTTCTCCTGTTCACACAGCTACTTACTGTGCTACCATGTCGTCACAGAAGACGCTGAGCAGATGACAAGTCAATGAATAACAAGGATGAAAAGACAAGTTTTCCAAATAGAGCTGATATAATTGGAATTTCTTTGACTATAGTTGAATATTTATTGTTGTAATTGTGTATTTGCCATACATACCACAGTGTTTTTAGTAGACTGTTGTGGTGTATGCAAGTACACGCTACTGATACACTGTGTACAATTTTACTTGAAGCTGTTATACATGAATGTAGCAGTATATCATTACTGTTTGATATTGTGTCATTAAGAGCACACTGCATTTTTTTAGTACCATTAAAGCTACATCATGTCTTGTTACACTGCTGTTAGTGTTAGAATTGTACTCGAGTGTAGATTCGTGTAGTTTATTAGTGCTAATTGTGTACAGTTAGTTCACGATTTCATTTTGCTGTATATCCTACTGTCATGTCTGATACCAAGATCAGTGCAGAATGCCAGTTATCTGTATCATCTCAACCGAGACAGCCCTAAAAGGAAGTCAAAACCAAAGCCATTTATACAGTGTGTGGCGGGAGATTGTCCAGAAGGTGTTCCAAAGCTGGAAGGTACAGATGGAGAATGTGTACTTAACACTGGTTCCCAGTAATGGATCAGTTTTGTTAGGAACTACCTTGTTAAAATGAGAGATATTAAATGTTGCTCCATTTATTAAGTTGACTGGGTCCCAGGGAATTATCATACATTTAATAATTTGGGTATTTTAGATGTGCGTGACCCAAACCAATACTCCTGTTGAGTCAAGAAAGAAAAGGGTATTAGAGATATTAGAAATGAATTACAAACTGGGCTTAGTGTGAATGAAATTAACAATTTCTCTATAAATGAAGGTTACAGGCCACTGTTTGTGAATAATGAAGAAGTTCAGTGGAGAACACACCTGTATTAATTCCTGCTCGGTCTACACGTGTTATTGGCGGATTTCTCAAGCCTGCCCCTGTTGAAAAGGCATACAATGTATTGTTGGAGAGAAACAAAGTTCATGTTGTGGAGCTGCAGAGTGAAGAGACAATTGGTGCAACATATGTGGCTGTGACTGACATTTGTAGGGTATCTATACAAATTACTTTACTAGATTTCTTTCTGTAAATGTGCTTATGTCCCGAGAATTGATATTGGTGATGTTAGCCCAGAAGGATAAGTTAAATGTGCTGATTGATAAATATCAAAAAAACATTTAGTAAGAATGAGGATGTATTGGGTTGGTATCCCTGATTGCTTAAAGCCATTGAACATACTTGCTATGCACAACACTGTACTCTAACACAGGTCTAGTCGTGTTTAGAGCGTTCTTATGCTCACAGATGTGTTCACTAAATTCACTCAAGCAATACCAACCAAAAATCAAAAAACTAGCTTGTGTCTCAGTTTGTACAATTTGGAATACCTTTAAAGAATTTATAGAGATCAAGGTCGTCATTTTAAAACTTATTTTGATTATTCAAGAACTTTTTAACATCTATGGCATCACAACAATCTATGTGATTGCTTCAATTTACTCTCCATGCCCAATTGTGCACGCTCCCTCTGAAGAAGTCAAAACGTATTAAGCACTTTCTTAAAGTCAGTGTATGCTTACAATTGTACTTCACACTCATTTAATTGCTATTATCCACATTGTTGTTTTAACATTGATGTGTGTACGAATGATTGCAATGCTCAGTAGATGGATGGATAGCCAATTATCACGAAGATTATAAGATGGCCTTGCGGGAAAACTAAGAGACAGGATTAATCATAGGTTTGACAAAACAAATTTGATGCTGTGTGTTCTAGGACAATAGGGTTATACTGGCGGGCTACTGAGAAAGACTGTACATTGAGAAGAGCTGCTAGAT